TTGTAGCAGAATCAATACCAAATAGAATCATTGGTGATTTCATTACGGCCTCACATACAGCTTTACTGCTGGAGTTACAGTGGAATGAAAACTCTAGGAAGCCCACGTAGATTCAGGATTTTTGAGGTTTGAAGTATTATAGGTTTATACTTTAAGGACTTCATAATAGTGTTGGCAAAAGGGACTGAATTTTGTGAAACTTGTTTTGGCTGGTAAGGAAGATTTTTTCAATTCTGTTTGATAAACAACTTTGTGAAATCAATGAAACTTAATGGTTTAAGCATTGTCTTGTATACATTGCCTGATGGTAAAATCGATTGACAAATGGAAGTTGTGAGGTTTCCTTCAGTGAAGGCTTCATGAAGAGAAACACAAATGATTTTTATGCATCCGTCCAAACTAGTTCTCTTAAAATCAAGTCTGCCTTTCAAGATGAAAGTTATGAAGAGCATACTAGTCATTATAAATAGCAGTTTGAATCAAAAATAAATATATAGAAAAGCCTCCCTGAGACAAAAATTTTCCTAAATTGAACTGTGTATAGTAAAAACTCCAAATACCAGGATGTTTGGAGAATATTCTAATTAATGAGATTTTCTGTTTATTGGAGGATTTTTTGTTGTTGAAAAATATTTCTAAACATACTCATTCCAATATTATGTTTTCATATGGTATATACAAAACACAGCTGATCATTTATTAAACAATGGAAACTTCTGAATTGAGAGTTATTTTCTGAATACCAGTTATTGTTTTTATAGCAAGTATATGCATATTATTAAATGATAATTTATTACAAATCACTGTGCTATGTAGCTCAGCAAATACAAAAAAAAAAAATTAATAAATTGCACCACTCTTCAAAGAGTTTATAGCCTTTGTGGGTTTCTTATGTAAAGAGATTATTATAATAGTAGTTAATAACTAATAAAAATTTCATAATATATAACTTTTTTCATATATACAGGATGAGAAACATGGAAAAATACTTAGTTATTACAGTTATATGAATAAATGTTTCTTCCAAAATCTATTTAAGTTTCTACAGAAAAGATCAGAATATCTAAATATTTTAGAAAACTTTTCATTTGGATGTTTGCATATTGATTTTTATATATTGATATTAATGTACAGGTTTTATTTCCAATTGAAAGAAACTTGTACAACATAAGTTGTATATAAGTTGCAATGTGGCATTGTATATATTTTAGAAATAGTGCAGCAAGTTTATTAATTGATGTATAATTTCCCCATCAGTAGTTGTATTCAAATATAGGCTTGTTCTCATTGGAATTTAAAATAATTGAAATCTATATTTCATAAACCCATATCATAGTACCTTTTCTCAACAGACATTTTACAAGTTCATAAAGATTTTGTTGTAAATTTGCTAGGAGCGATAAAATAAAGATTATGGATTAAGGGTGTTTCCTAGAGAGTCTCTACAGTATATTGGGGAAAAAGAAAAAGGCCGGACTTTGATATTGGCTTATAAGGATCATGTACATGAATCAGTCACTTCTTGTTTTCCTTCTTATGTTGAATAATATTGTGCTTATCAACAGAAATTCATTTTTTTTTAGTGCTTATTAGTCTTAATAAGTAAACCTCCCACAGGATCAGTAAAATGTTCAAATGATCAAGAATTATTTTTTAGTTTCTTCAGAAACAGACTCTTAAGTATGGAGAACAAACTGATGGCTACCAGAGGAGAGGTGGGTAGGGGAATGGGTGAAATAGGTGATGGGGATTAGGGCACCTCGGTGGTTAAGTGTCTGACTCTTGATTTTGGCTCAGGTCACAATCTCAGGGTTGTGAGATTGAGCTCCGCATTTGGCTCCATGCTGGGCGAGGAGCCTGCTTAAGATTCTTTCTTTCCCTCTCCCTCTCTCCTCTCTCCTTCTCCTTTTGCCCCTCCCCCAACATTTGCACAGGGACTCTCTCTCTCTAAAAAAAGAAAAAGAAAAAAACAAAACAAAACAGGAGGGCATCTCTTGTGATGAGCACTGGGTGTTATATGTAAGTGCTGAATCACTAAATTCTATATCCAAAACTGATGTTACACTGTATGTTAACTAACTGGAATGTAAATAAAAACTAAAAAAAAAAAAATGATTTTGTAGTTTCATTCTGAATTGAAGTTAGTCAAACAACCAGACAAAATAGTAAAAATTACTTAAGGTCAAAAGCATATAACTTAACTAGAATTTAATCCTTCCTCTGTGTAATATTTTAGTAGCTATAATCAAAATTCACCATTATCTTTATGTTAATGATAATAAAGCAATGTAAAACCTTAATTGTTTGAAAACCCTGGTTCATTTTAGCTCATTTTTTCAGCAAATATTTAGGGTGTGTCCCTAGGTCTTATGGGCTAAGATGGTGGTTCAAGGTTTAGCCATCCCATCCCCATTCCAGGCAGCATATTGGAGGAAGATGTGAAGAAAAGAGGCAAAGTCAGCTCCAGCCATGCTTTAAATGAAGTTCTGGCAAAGTGTCATACAACATTACCTCCAAGGGAAGCAATGAAATGAAATCTTTTTTTGGGGTGGCCACATGCCCAGCTGAAGGTTGTGTAGTTTATTATTCTGGAGGAGGAAGCGAATGGATATTGAGGATTCCAGAAGTCTTTGCCTCTGTCCCTAGCACTGTACAAAAACTGCATTCTCAAAGGCAACAAATGAAATCCAGCATGGTGAGTGCGAGACTTGGCACTCACAAAGGGAGAAGGTGGAGGAGTAGGTTGGAGGTGACAAGCTGACAGGACCCTAGAGAGGAAATGATTTTTAATATTTCTTTATATGTTAGGTTTCAGAAACAGTCTAAAGATTATGTATTGGTTTTCTAGAGCTGCTGTAACAAAGTACCACAAACCATAAAGCAACAGTAATTTATTCTTTCACAGTTCTGGAGGCTAAAATTCAATATCAAGGTGTCAGCAGGGCCTCTGCAACTGGGTAGAATCTTCCCTCGCCTCTTCCTAGCTTCTAGGGATGGCCATCAATTCTTGTCATTCCTTGGAGTGCAGCTGTATCTTTTCCTCTATAGTTACATGTTTTGTTTTGTTTCTTGCACCCACCCCCACCCCTGCCGCTGTGTGTCTTTGTGTCCACATGGTATTTTCCTCTTCTTAGAAGGAGACTTTCATGGGGCGCCTGGGTGGCTCAGTTGTTAAGTGTCTGCCTTCGGCTCAGGTCATGATCCCAGGGTCCTGGGATCGAGCCCCACATCGGGCTCCCGGCTCAGCAGGAAGCCTGCTTCTCCCTCTCCCACTCCTCCTGCTTGTATTCCCTCTCTCGCTGTGTCTCTCTCTATCAAATAAATAAAATAAAATATTTAAAAAAAAAAGAAGGACACTATCATATTGGATTTAGGACTTACCCTAAGGTCTTCTTAACTCAATTACATCTACAAAGACCCTGTTTCCAAACAAGGTCATAGTCACAGATACCAGGGGTTTAACTTTCAGTACATCTTTTAGAAAGACACAATTCCACTTTTAAAAGAATATTTCTAGATAATTTACTGTTTGAGGAACTTTAGACATCCAGACAAAAAAAGGTTATGATTTGTTTGTTTGTTTTAGCACTGAGCTTCCCTATGGTCAAAGGCCTACATTATTCTTCAAGACTTTTAGATTTAGATTTTTGTTATTGTTGATGTGTCAGTAGGCAAAACAGTTGTTAAGATGGTCTTAATTATTGGAATGTATCCATCTAGGTGTTTTTTTTTCCTTTGTGTATGGAAACCCATTTGCTTGAAACCCATTCCCTTAAATACCACCAAAGAATTATGACTTGTCATTTCTGTGTGCCTAACATATAACTGTTTATATGACTTTATTACACAGCTCTGTTCTCTTCAAAGTTTACACTTTATAACTTGCCTTAATTTGGATATATTATGTAACTTACTCAAAGAAGATTATTTCACATCCATTTCAACTTTCCATACTATTATTACAAGATTCATAATATAGGTTTTTTTTCAGTCTATTGAAGATGAGTTGGTGTATTAAATGATAAAGATATTGTGTAGGTAGATAGAGAAACCATGAGAAGTAATAACTAAAACTCTGACTTCTGGAAGACAAGGAAAATATCAACATAGACAGAAAGTAAAGAACACACATGTGTGTATACTCGGTGCTCACCTGTGAACAGACTCAAGATCCACGCTGTCAGAGAAAGCAGACTGAGATCCTTTATATCAGTCCATTATACCTTAGAATACTAATGAAATATACAGAGTGATGACCCAAGTGATATCAATCAAAGCTCATATTTTGTAACATATTCTGTTTCTAGCATATGTTTAAAATGTATAGACTACAAATGTGATTGTTTTAATTTTCGCTCTTTGCTCTGTTTCTTTGGAACCCCTGCCTTCTTAGTCTCTGTACTTCGTGCACGCAATTTAGGAATATAGAACTGGTATCACTTATTTGTCTTATCTAAAAAAGCTGAACTCACAGAAACAGAGAGTAGAGTGTGGTTACCAGGGCCTTAGGGGTGAGGAAAATGGGGAGATACCGATCAAGGGTACAGACTTCCAGTTATGAGATGAGTAAGTTCTGAGGACCTAACATTTAGCATCGTGTCTATAATTAACAATACTATATTATATACTTGAAAGTTGCCAACATAGTAGATCTTAAATGTCATAACAGAAAAGAAATGGCGATTATGGGACAAGATGAAGGTGTTAGCTAATGCTATGGTGGTAATCATTTTACAGTATGTAAAGTATGTATGTATCAGATATATCGTATACCTTAAATTTATACACTGTTATGTATCAATTATATCATAATATAGCTGGGGAAAAATAAAAGTGAAGATATTATATCTACGTGGTTTATGGGTATTAATGACATTCAAAATATTTTAATTCGGGGAAACGAAGGAGAGTGTGTGGGTTAGAGAGTTGAGGGAGACATTGTCACTGTGCATGTCATGGAGCGGTTATGTAACTTCCCCGGTATCTTCTTGTCTTGGCAGTGTGTGCAGGAACAGAGAACAAGCTGAGCTCTCTCTCTGACCTGGAGCAACAGTATCGAGCCTTGCGCAAATACTATGAGAACTGTGAGGTAGTCATGGGCAACCTGGAGATAACCAGCATCGAGCACAACCGGGACCTCTCCTTTCTGCGGGTAAAGCTGCCTCTTTCTTTCTCTTCTCTTCTCTGTGAGTGGACAGTGGTGTCACAATGCATAAAGACAGACCAGCTTGCTTGTACTTGATGGTGATGCTCTTCTGCCCGGCAGGGACCATGACTGTAGGCAGAAGATAAGAGTTATCAAGGCATGCCTAGGAAAAGAACAAGAGTAACAATGCCATCATGACTGACACCTTGAGTTCAGTGCAGTTACTGTTACTCTAAGACTGATAAAAGATCCTGTCAGCCTATGGTACATGATATCTAGCAAGTCTGTTTTTTTTTTTTTTTTTTTTTTTTTCTGATTTGCAGGCAAGAGGAAAACTGTTAGGCTGGGGACTAGGAGAGTCAGAGGACCAATCAGATAAGAATGGGTAACTTTAGTAATCTCACTTTCTGTCCCTTTACTGTCACTTTGGAAATTTCAGACCACTCCATATTACCATAATAAGACTAATACTGTTATCTTTAGAAGAAAAATGACATCTGTTTTTGAAAACCCACAAATTAGTTAAATTAGATACAGGGAATTATAAGTACTTATGTAGATTTATATATGCATACACATAAATGCATATGTGTATATATAAAGTTACTCAGAGACAACCAGTCCTTTTGCAAACTTGTTTTGGCTCTCATTTACATCCTTAGTCTGTTAAATAGACTATCAATGCTTTGTGGCTTCAGTTTCTTATGTTTTGCTTTAACCAGAATAGGTAATAGGAAAATCTGAACTTCAAAGAGATATGGTCTTCTGCATAGCTATGAATTTATTCTTTATATAAGAACTATTATGTATTTTAAATAACAGCATCCCTCTAATAGATTTGATTTTTTCAGTAGTATTTACACATTTCTTAGGAGTACTGTCTTGTGTAAATCAAGACAAAAGTGTCTCAAATACTGATACAGTAGACTATTTGGGATATAGTGAATTACTTAAAGAACTATGATAATTTAAATAATTCTGCACTTAGATAAGTAGTAAAAAAAAAGGCAATGATTTTTAAATACTTTGAATTTACACAACAAATATATCTAGAAGGGTAACAACCTCAGAAAATAAAACACTATGAAACTTATGATACCTGTTTATAAAAATGACTATCATACTAGGATCAGTATAGGGACTGAAGGTATTTCCATATTCTGCTGCTTGATTAGCAGAGCACTGGTTCTATGAGTTATATGTCAAAACTTTTTAATAATTATGAAATTTAGTTATGACATTTTTGTTTATCAAAAGTAAATAGTAAAAATTATCTAAGTTCCAGAATGTGAGAGCCTTAGAAGAGCTTAACACTTTTTTTTTTTCTTTTTTGGACTATTGTTTCAAGAAGAGAATACTTGTAAGCTATCCTAGAATAGCCACTTCAAAGGAATGCATCATTAGTTATTAAAATTTGTTTACAAGCTTCTAACCTGTGTTCATTACTTTCAGATAGATTTTATTCTTCAACATCAAAATAAGATTTTGATGGCATATGAGCTGATTTGGTTAGAAATGCCAAGAAGCTCAATGATGTGACAGAAAAGGAAAATTGAGGTCTGAATTCTGAATCAGGGAAAAGAAATAGGTTAAATAGTTTATTCAATCAGAATAATATGAGAAAATTTTAAAAGGCAGTCTAAGATCTTTGTTTTTCTTCTTGTGTTTTCTTGACTTTGCTGTACATGGAACAAAATTCCACGGGCTTAACAAAAAATAGTCATGGATATTGTAAATGGCAGTCTTTAAAATAAGCAACATAAAATGTTATGATTGTATATTTTATAATTTTAAAATTCTTAAGCTCTTATAAGGTAAAGAAGAGAGTGATCAAAAAATAGATCCACGTCAATTTTATAATATTTAGAAATAGGAAAGTAACCTACAGATCTTTGACCAACATGGTCTATATTGTTGGATATTCTACCTTTTTAAGAACCATTTTGAGTAAAAAGTAAGACAATAGAATAAACAGATTTGGGAAAGAATAAAATAAGTATGACCAAGGTTTCTACATGAAATAAGAATTAGTTGTTTCTTAAAAAAAATAGTTGTTGATACCTAAGTAGCATTTCTAAAAGTTCATGCAAACTTTGTACTACCCCATGATCATATCTTTACTGTCATCTACTGATTTAAAGATAGCTCTAATAGTTTTTTTTCCTTACTAATAACACCTTTTTTGTTGTTTCACTTATCTGTTGTTCCTTTGGAAAATAGCCATTTCTAGACATGACATATATGTATTCACTCAACAGATAGTCTTAGCCCAAGAATACAATAGCAACTAATATATTGTCCTTGACTTCAACAATCTTGCAGTCTTGTAGAGGGTTACAGATAAGTTATACATAAGTATCGTGTATATATGTGTGTGTGTATGTATATATATAATGTATACAATATATATATATGCATATATAAAAAATTATAGTTGCTAAGACAGAAATGAGAAGCCAGAATATGAATGAAGGTATGGTCTTGTCTTAATGGTAGGTGTGAGTGCTGGGCAAAAAAAGGAATGGCTAATTCTGAAAGACTCAGGAAAGATTTCATCAAAGAGGTGCTTGAATTGAATCATGAAAAGATGAATAGGGGCTTACAAGGTAGGTAGATGGAAGAGAAAGGCATTCCAAAGGGTGCAATATGAGTGCAGGCTTAGAAAGAAGGCCTGAAATCAGAGTTAATAAATGTATACTTAATGTTTACTGCTTTAGATATTAGACATATGCATGCAAATAAATCACACATCATTCTCACCTTCATGGAACCTATAGTGTAGTGTGGATCAAGATAAATTTGGGGATGGAATAAAATATTAAATTGGAGAGGTAGGAAGCCTTATACCATAGATAGGTATTCAGGGGACATCAGAATCCGAATAAGTTAACCAGTGGGGCTTGGATAAAATCATCAAGGGGGATTGAAAGATTCTTAGACCAGAAAGTGGCCCAAGGACAGACCTCTCCAGATGCCCCATTCTCTGTTTTTTGGTCAGGTCAGTGTTCTAACTACTTTTCTGCATGAGCCCTAAAAGGAGGCACAACTGGCTGAAATCTTCATTAGGCTACTGTATTCCAACTGTACCTTAGAATATGCTAAAAGCTCTCCATTTACAGGTTTTCTCCACTATTCAAAACTTGCTTTATGTCACTTCACTTTTATGTAAGACCTACATGACTACCTGTTTTCACTAACCAGAAGAAATCTGAAGAGGATTTTCACTTTTACGAATGATAATTGCTTCTTTTCTTCGTACCATTTCAGAGTAGGGAGGGTTTAATACAAATACTCTACTTTCAGAGAGAGGGAAAAACTGTAATATAAAAATTTCACTCCAGATAACTACATTATGGTTCATTTGTGTTCTTAGTGGGTTCCCTCCAAAGTACGTAATCTGTCCAATATTGGCTCATTATAATAAGTAGAGGGCATGTAAAGGAAAACTAGTTATTTTACATTATGCTAATATTTCCAATAAGTTTTGAATTGTATGAGTGAGTAGTAATCTTGCATTAACCTATTCTATATATTACATAGCCTTCAAATATATTTATATAACTGTAATTCACTGAGCAACTGCTTACAGAGGTGTGCAATTTCCCTTCCTCTCAGAATGACTCAAACCTATAATGTGTTTAGAGAGACATCATAGATAGGGATCTTAAATTTATTTCTGGAATTAATTTCTGTCTTTAAGAACATAGGAAATTACTTTTGTTTTTAAAAGATCTTCCATCCTTATTTTCTTCTCTAATTAGCAAGTTCATTGTATTTTGTTTTATTATTTGTTTTGTATGAAACCACTCTAATTTCTATAATTCATGAGAGCAGCTTACCTCAGTACCCTGTTTACCTCTTTCACTATCTGAATAGTCATATCTAGAACAATGCCTAAAATATCATAAGCTTTCATTAAATATTTGCCTAATGGACAAATAAATGAATATTTTTCATAAAACTTGATACTTTATAGATCACCATTTCGTGTATTATATGTTCTCATGAATATGTCTACCTCTCCTCATGTTCTTTCAGTATGACATCACCACAGATCAGGTGTGTGGGCGTAAGACACCCACTGGGTCAATCAGAATCCCTTCCTGTGAGTTTCTATATCAGTTAGTTTCTTGACCATTTGGGTACTAGAACATAGTCATGTTTTTTTCTTGTCATTTGGGTATCAGAGAGGGCTGTGCAGATGGCAGAATGGAGCCAACACACTGAAACAGACAGCAGAGAAAGAGAGAATGACCATTCACCCCAAATTACTGGTGAGGGAATTTCCAGGTTCTGGTCTTCTGATGACTGGTTGTATTACAGCCAGTAGTCCATAGGATACTCCTGGAACTTGAGAGTAACTTTGAAGTGATTTTCTCTTTTTTCCCTAAACTAGATACGTTTGTTTTCTTTTGTTAAAACCAAAATATCCCATCTAGTACATCTCTCAAGATCCCATCTAGTACCCTCATAATTAAATCTACTAGAACACAGAAAAAGTATGCTTTTGAAATGAAGATGTATTTCTATATTATAAAAATAAAAAACCAAAACAAGCAAAAAACCACCCTATAATGTTTTGGAGATACTTCCTTAATCTTTGTTAGATATATTTTATTGAAATGCTTTGAAATGCATTATTTTCAAGATGCTTTTCTTGTATCAACCTTGGTGCTTATCTATATAAGCACCTTTTCACCCAGCTTTGTTGTAACCTCCAAGTTTTTGCATATCTTCTTGGGGAAAAAAAATCTGGTTGACAATATTTAACATTAGACCCCTGAGACATCACATAGTTGGCTAGAAAAAGGCCCTAAAACTTATTTACTATGTACTTTATCACAGTCACAAGGTTAAGACATAATAGAAAACAGCAAGGCATAAAAATCACAGGTTTTGTGTTATTGTCTTAGACTTTGTGAACTCTCTCAAACAAGGTGAAATATAGCAAATAATGGGAATGGACTTTTAGACCTTTTACCCTCATTAGAATTCTTGAGAGGTTT